GCCAGGACAAGTCATGAGCTTTTGTCTGTATGCTGTGTTGTACTCTTGAATTATTTTAAAGTCCAGAGTAGAGACTGTCTGATTGAACCTAACTTACCTATTATAGTAATAGAATAAGTAACTTAGTCATAGATGAGAGGCCATGGGTATTTATCAAAACATTTTACTTTTGTAGATTTCCCCCAAAACTAAAATCAGTAGGACATAAAAATACATCCTAGAGCACATGAGCCCAGGCAAAGACCTTGGTAACTGATTTGCATGTGGATTAAGAAATGCTAGTGATTTTTTGGTTTTCCTTGGAAACTCTTAGAGTAGACTTCTGAAGCTAATTTGGATTGTAGATGAGCTGAGCTAAAGCAAACAGGGACACATTAGCCTTTTGTTCCATTGGCTCTTAATCATTGGCTTTTGTAACCCATCTGGAACTATTGTTATGTTCCTTTGGGTCCTTGGCCTTTACTTTAAAAATGCACATAATACTGTCTGCTTGGTTAAAAAATGCTGAGTGATTTCTGTTATTATATCAAGGCAAAGATAAAGTTTTCAGCTTCATACATTTTGGACTGGGTTGAATCATCATATTTGGTTTCCATCATATAACTAGAGATGTTGACTTCATAATAATGGTCGCTCATAAGGTCTAAAACCCAATTCTGTTATTTAGAAGTGACAGAGTTGATTCATGGAGGCATGGAAACACTGGAAAAGCAATTGTGAATAACAAAGGACACATGATTCCTACTCCTTGGATTTGTGGAAGCTGATGACATGGCAAGAGATAGAAAAAAATAAAGCCTACTGGTTTTTGTTTCCAAAAAAAGTGAATATAATATTGTACAGATATGTAATTTTAGAGGTTGATATTATTCCAGTACTGTTTTTTGGTTACTAGATTATGTCTTGGTGTCTTGGTGCCATCATTTGTACACCTACACATTTACATTTTCATTACTTTTGGAACCTCGTTGTTGTACAGGCAGAAATAAAAAAGGAGGTGAATTCTAGGCAACTTTGTTCCTCTTTAGCAGTTCTTAAAAGAAAAGTTCAGTGTTTTACTATTTAAAGAGTACCCTGTATGAATTAGTGATTGTCTGTGGATTCTAATAACCATAGCCCCAGGTGACTACTCCTAGTATGTATCAGAAACAATATGTTATCTCTGTCTCCTGCACTCAACACACTTATTCTCTGGTTTAGTTATTTGTGTGTTATTAACCTATTTTAGGAGTTTGTAAGCTTTTTGTTGTTATATGCAGAAAGGTATATCAATATTTACATTTTTCTGGGAAGAGGATCCATACCTATCACCATGGGCTAAATAAATAAAACATTAACATCAGTATCTCAAACCATTAGAAAATATGTTTTATGCTCCTTGATAGAATTTAAGCAACCAAAACAACAGGAATTGTATTTGTTACTGATGTATTTTCCTTAGCACTTGGCAATGGTCCCTTCTGTAAATACTTTTGCACAGGTGGATTTTAGAATTGCATGAAGCTTGGACTAATTTCTTGGGCCTGGTACTCTACAGTAGTAAGTTAGGAACTTTGGTTCCATGTTTACCTCCTTCAGGCAAAATAAGTTTGTTTTATGAAACAATGGGCACTTACTGTATTTAGTCTCCTTCCCCATTCAAACTTTTATCAATTCTAAAGAAGGTAGGATATAATTGATGGATTGAAATTATCTACAAATAATTCCTGAGATAAAAGAAACTGAAAATATCCCTCCAAGTTATGTGCAAAAGTGGTTAGATACCTGAAGAAGCTAAATCATCCAAAGTTCAGTTTTTTTACAAAGTTTCTTTCAGATGGTGATTTCCACGTTAAAAAAAAGTTAGTAATTCAGAAAGGAAAAGTGTACAGAGTCTTTGTGAAGAAGATGTGACTCTTGTCCCTAAAGAGTAATTTAAATGCGAAAAAAATAAATGCATATGATATATTCAACAACAATATCTCCCTGACTGGAAAAGAGAAACTGATCTGGTAGCATTCCTATAGTGTTTGACTTCCCCAAGAATCAGGATCTGAAGCAAATAGGAACAGGATAGAAGATCAAGACCACAATTATCACAAGGCCCTTTCAAATTGCATATCACCAGCCACTAGATAAAATCACCCAACTAGGTAGTATTTTAAAAAATTCGCCTAGTCATATTAGCAAATTAATTAACAAAGATGAGCCATATGATTACAATGTTAGTGATCTCTTCTCATTAAAACCTATGAAATATTTTTATTTAACTGTAATTGGTGCTTCCAGTGTATAGGGCAGTAGATATTTAAGTGGATTTTAATTGTTTCAGAGAAAATGTGTACTATTTAACAGGAGATTTCATCCTACTGGTTAAAAAATACGGTCAGTAATCAGATAGTGAATATAAGCAAATAGGCAAGAGGATTTTGCTGTAAAAATGTGAACACAAAGTAATTGCCTTATAACTTCTGCATTCTATACCTATCTTGTTCTTATTTATAGCTATGTTAACCATTATAGAATTATTGTTCATTCCTATGGGTCTAGACCAGGGGTGGGCAAACTTTTTGACTCGAGGGCCACAATGGGTTCTTAAACTGGACCGGAGGGCCGGAACAAAAGCATGGATGGAGTGTTTGTGTGAACTAATATAAATTCAAAGTAAACATCATTACATAAAAGGGTACGGTCTGTTTTTTTAGTTTTATTCATTTCAAACGGGCCGGATCTGGCCCGCGGGCCGTAGTTTGCCCACGGCTGGTCTAGACCCAGAAGGTCAGGAGCCAAGACCAAGTTAAAAGAGTCCCAACACTCTTGGCATGAATGCATCACCCCCAGACTCATCGGGCGGTGACTGTTTACCCTGGACCATTTTAACTCACCCTCCAAATTTTTCTATGGTTTCTGGAACCTCCTGAAGGTCTTCCGTGGAGTAGAACTATGGTACTCAACTCATAGTGTGCATCAGAATCACCTGGTGGACTTTTTTTTAAAAATGCAGGCATTGGAGTGCTGCTTCTGGAGATTTCTGATACATTTGGTCTGCGGTCAGACCCAAATTAAGTGATTTCTAAAATATACTCAGGTAGTTCTGATGTGCAACACAAGGCTGAAGATCACTTAAGTAGAGATCTGTCCATCCTAATTTCACAGATCCCAGATGTAAGAATTTGGGAGCTATAAGTAATAACTATATATATATATATATATATATATATATATATATATATATACACATACACACACACACACACACACACACACACACATACATATATATGATATATATTAGTGTATATATACTAATATATCTATTAGTATCAAAGTAGTCTGAGTTTACCCTCTTAATAGCTGAGATTCTAAATCCAGCAAATGCATAGGATATTATTAAAAATGATCTCATTGATTTTCTAGACCATTAACAAATGCTGGACCGCATACAAACTATCATGGGTTCTGATCCCAACAGATGTCCTTTCTAAACACCTGTTGGAGTGAACTCTGCCATTGGCCCTTTAAATGGGATGGAGTTTTAATTTTCCAAAAGTAGTGATGCGGTTGGCATGCTAGAAATGCACATTTGCTGCCTGTGTTCCATTCTAGTAAACAATCTCCTGAATTACTATGTTGATCTCTTGATTGTGTATTGAGAGATGTCTACAAATACCATTAGGATTGACCGGTAGTCTTGTTTATAAGGCTGTGTTAGAGGGAGTTGATTTCACATAATTAGCCAATAATGAAAAACAATGCTTTTTTACCTTCTCATGATCTATCAAGAATTGACTTACTAAACACTAGAACTGTAGTTGTAAACTGGAGAATGTTGAAAGCTCACCTAGAAAGCTGTTTCACATTTCTCCCAAGTGGAGAGTCTAAATTTGTGCTTAGTTATAATGGAATCGGTAAAATGTTCTGCAGCTTCACTCCAGACATGCCCGTGGATGGTTCTATCCAAAAACTGGCATAAACAAGCTGTGTCAGTATCTTTATCTCCAGCGAGTTCATCGTGTCTGTCTATGGTGCAATACTGAATCAGGTACCGCCTGGCTGAAGGTCATGGGTTACACATAGCTATTCAAATACTTTATTTTGGGGACAGCTGGATCACTCCCTGACCTGACTTTCATGAGTGGGAGGATCATCTTCATCGTTTTGCCTTCCTGCCCTTTCTAAAAATAGTAGGGCCTTTAACAAGGAGATATTTTAAGCAGCTCATATTCACTTGTCTCATCAGGAGATGCTTATTTTGCATCTGACACACTCGCATGTGTCAGATTTGCATGTGTGCATCGTTAGACCTTGGGAGCCCCGTCCATGCTTTTCCCATCACTCATATAAGAAACTTGCACACATAAAGGCTCTGGGATTACCAGCTGAGAGTCAGTGGGTAAACATAAACGAAGGGAAGACACTTTTTAGGAATGCGAATATGCTGCTGAGACCATCCATTGCAGGCCTTTGCTCATCAGCCCTCAGCTTTTCGGATCTGTTTTCGTAAGACCTGGCTGGGATTTCACTTCAGAGACCTCAATGATCTTGCTGCTTTTAGCAAATATTTATAGGAGCCACTGCCAGCCTGTGGATAAGGGAAACTAATGAGAAACTGCCTTCCAAAATCTGAACAGCAAAACCAAAACCAAGCAAATCCAAAAAATCCCAAACAGAACCACAAAAGAACAACTCAGACAATCCGTGCTCACAAGAAGACGCGGAGAAAAAGACCAAGATGTAACTTTGCTTTGATAACTGGATTTATCAGTCACAGGACGGGCATGCAGTGGGTACTTTGTATTTTTCTCCTTTGAAAAATAAAACAAACACAAGTGCAAATCTATGTTTTGCTGCACCAGTGGGACCAAAACAGTATGAGTGTGAGAAAACACAGACTCTAAGAGCAAGATGGAATGTAAGCAGGTAAAGCCTGTTCCACAGTCTTGTCATTCCACTACAGTTGTGCGTGGTACTCGTGTTTGCACCTCTAAGAGATTTCCATTTTTTCGCATCAAAAAATCCAGATACGAAGCCGAGGCTGCTTTCTTCGCCAACCTGAAGCTGTCTGATTTCAACATCATCGACACCCTTGGCGTTGGAGGTTTCGGACGAGTAGAACTGGTAGGTCATTGTTCTGTGAATGCCTTTGAAAGCCTGTCTCTTCCTTCTCTACTTCTTCTCCGTAATAAGGTTTCTCTCATTCCCTCTCTCCTCTTTAATTGCTATGGTTCCTAACTTGGTACCAAAGAATTTTATATCAGCACATCGGGAGTTTGCAAAGTGGGCTATATTAGGTAGTCAATAAACTAAAAATACAATGAATACAAATTTACTTTTTAGAAAACCACCTTAGAGGAAGCGAAATGTGAAGACATTTACAGAATGAGGAGTCACAAAGTGCTTCTTACCCAGCTGATATTCTATGGTCTTTATTTGCTTCCACAGTTCTGAGCAGTGCTTACTATTTTAATTATGTGCTCTATCTATAATACAATAATTAAAATGTAAGTTTAAGTATATATAAAGAGAAATTATATATATATATTTAGTAATCCTTACCACTGCTTTAAAAAAAAGTCAAGTAAATGCTTTTAAAGTATTAATTTTGTGATTCTCAAGTTTCGAGCACCTATACATATCTAACCTTATTTGGTAATATGGTTTGAATATTTTATACAATTTATTTCACACATATACAGCTAAGTTTTCATGAAGGTGATGAAGACATTTGGGTACAAGTTTATACATTAAACACATTGCATGCATGTGATATAAAGCAAATGAAAGCATGCTCTATCCTGCTTTTGTTTGAAATATAAGTTTAAAAAGTGACATTGCCACAAAAATTTTTTAAAATGCATTCTGGTTAATGTATTGCTGCATTTCACCCCTGTGGGAAAGAAGCCTATCTGAGCACAGAGATTAAGTTCTACCTCTCTGCTGACATGGAGGAGTCCCTGATATCAGACGCCAGTACAGTATGTTAGGAACTCCCTGCGACTGTGTAGTAAACAGTTACTGTTGCCACCAGGGGACCGGAGAAATCCCCTTCCATGACAGTATATTCGATCCAGCGCTATTTTTGCTATTTGTCCAGTTGAGCTACAATTGGGACTTCTGCCTCTGACAGGCAGTAAGATGTTATTTACTTAAAGATTAGACACGAAGGTTTCTGAGCCACAGTGTGTTTCACTAAATTTGTATTATGTCTCCCTTAACACGGAGGTATTTTAGTAATACTACATCTGACTTGACTTCTGCCTTCTGAGGGAGCCTCTGAGGATCTAAGCATTTTTAGTTCTAGGAGTAAAAATCAAGTTAGGGCCCAGAGAAACCTCTCGCTTTTCTGAATCTGGCCAGTTCATGTAGTCCTAGATTTATTTGTAAAGAACCATTAGTTGTGTTCATCTAGCAAGTGAAGATTTATTAACAGTGTTACACATGAATAGCTTGGCACGTGGGATGGAGGGACATTGAACAGGACAGAGGGAGGAAAGAGCCCCTTGCCATGAAGAGTGTAGTGTCTGGTGAGTTTATTGACATAGTTGTATGTGTCTAACCCCCTCTCTGAATGAAGCGGTATATAAAGGACAGACTATTATAGTTTCTTAAATATTTTTTAAACACTATGGAGAATAAAATTGCTGTTTTAGTTGACAAAAAAACAAACAAACAAAAAAAAACCACAACATTGCAACTTTGTGGAGTCCTAGAGGGTTGTGAACCTTCAAGTTACCAGTGAGATATTTTATGAAATGCAATGTAGGAATTTTTTGCAATATTGAAAGTTACTCATAGACACTGAGACCACTTCAAGCTGGACAATTAAATGCCAAGCAGATAATGTAAAACTTCCGGAAAATTCACTTAAAAATATCTGAGGTGGCACAAGCAACTAAAGACATAATTAGGACATTCAAAAAAAATAATGCAATTTAAAAAGAATGTGTGTGTGTGTGTGTGTGTGTGTTTTGTGGTTGTGTGTGTCTGAGTACCTATATATTTATGCATCATCTCCATCAAGGAGAGATAGTCAACAGTAGTTCAGCCTAATTTTCTTCTCAAGGGTATTATATTTTACTTTTATATTTTATAGACTAATGAAGGCCATAACCTTTAGATACAATGAAAACAAAACTTTAGATACAATGGAAAAATCCATACATAATGGGTCATTAGGGCAAGAGGCACATGTCCTTAACCTCTGAAGTGATGTCAAAACTCACCATGTGATAATCATAATACGCAGATTTTCTTCACTGTTCTATGTGGAATAGCCTTTTAACTGATTACTATTCCACTAGAATCCAATGCTCATGGTCTTTACCACTTACTAACTGCCAGATATGTTCATCTCATTTTGCATAATGACATAGCCTTCAGAGACTTCTCAGCATTTCTTATCATTGATGTCAACTTAAATGAACTCCGATGCAGGAGTATTGCTACGTGGTTTATTGCCAATTTCTAGAGATGGGAACATAATTCTGGTACAAACTTAAGTATTTGTTCAATTTGTTAAGAAGCTTAAAGTAAACGTCTATGCCCATGGGAATTCTGCTCTTAAGCTATTCAGGCTATTTCATAAATACGTTTAGAATAACCGATTGTAACTACTTTAATATCAGACACGCCCTGTTCACAATGCCTTTAAGTCATCTGTACTGCTTTCTTTCCTGCTTTTTGGCCTATCCCATATTTTCTGCCCATGTTTTTTATTTTGAAGAATGGACTTAATTCACTCAGCACTACCTGTTTATAATCTATCTTTCAGAAAGCCACATTTTATTTATAATAATATTTTTAGGAAAAGAATTCAGCTCTCTTTTTACATGTGATTCACTAATTAAAGTAGAGACATCTAGGCAAGCCTCTTAATTTCTAAGGTGTGACTAAAATACGAAGCTTGACTGGACAACTCACAAGGAAACATCAGTCCCGTTGCTCTATGGTCACATTCCTCATTTACTCGACTTTTGCTCTTGTTAGAGAGGAGCTTGCTTTTCAAATAGACTTTCAGGCCTCAAACTTTTTCATCTGACAATGTTATGTGCTGATTTTATTGAATGTCAGATATTAAATCTATTTATCCAGCAATCCACTACCTCCTATACCAGAACAACATACTTGGACAAAATATAGGAACAAAGATATGGAAGATATAATTACTGTCTTCTTGGATTATATCCCTTCTCCATCATTTTTATATGCTTATGTAGTGAGCTCTCTGCTGTAATCTATAAAATTTAATCCGAAATAGCACTACCTCTATGGACTCGCCATCTATCGGAAGGGACACGTATGTAAACTAACAAGTACACTCATGATCAGAGTCTGAGAAGCACGTGCTCAGGCCACCAGGGAACTATGTTTCTTCAAAGAGGTGGCATTTCTATCAGAGGGTGTATTGAGTCATTGACATAAAAAAAAGAAACATTATGATAGACTCATAAAATGAAACTACTGCAGGGTAATTTATTAAGAAACTGATACTAACAATGTTTATTAATAAGTTGGCATTACTTCCTAACTAAAATAAGCCTTTCATTTGAACCCTGCTTTATAATCTTCAAATTGTTTTCATACCCAGTATATGATTTTGCCTTGATAGCTATCTTGGGAGGAAAACATGGGGCATGATCCACATTTTACAGGGAAAAAAATCAAGAATAAAACATAGAAGTGACCTAAGAACATGCAGTCATTGAAAGATCTGTTGTGATTGCCCAGAACTACTAATTAGATAGATAGATAGATAGATAGATAGATAGATCTATCTCAGAGAGGAAGGGAGAAGGAAAGAGAGATAAAAACATTAATGATAAGAGAGAATCATTGATCAGCTGCCTCCTCCATGCCCCCTCCTGGGGATTGAGGCCTCAACCCAGGCTTGTGCCCGGACCAGGAATCGAACCATGACCTCCTGTTCATAAGTCCACGCTCATTCACTGAGCCACGCTGGCCGAGCTGATTTTTTAGTGAGAAGCTTTTTCTATTATCTGGCTTCTAAAATGATTTAGATCCTTACCTCCAACAGCCACCCCTGAAGTAAATGTTACTTCACTGTCACATGTACACCTCTGTTTAAAAAAAAATCTTCTAGAATTCAAGAACCTGCATTAGACATAAACCTAGAATTAAATACTATAATTGTGTTATTCATCTTTGCTTCTGTCAAACATTCAGAGGCTTTTCCTTCCCTGAATCTTTTGCTGCTCCTATTGGTTGTAAAATGTCTGTGGAGCAAAAAAAAAAATCAGATAGTGTCATGTGGTGCTTAAAAGCTAGAGCACTGGACGGACACTTCTGGATTCAGCCCTACCAGCTGTGTCATTTACTTAAACCTTCTGAGTCTTAGTTTACTCATCTCTAAAATGAGGATTACATAGGATATGTATCCCACAAGATTGCAAAGAGAATATGAATTAAAGCCCCCCAAATGGTACCTCACATGTCATAGGTCAGTATATATTGCCAATGTTCCTATAATAATTATTAATATTAAAATATGACAATGACAGCTATCTTTATTATTTCCAGCTATTGCCGTAGAAAGGGAAGGGAATGGAATACTTATGCTCTTTTTTCTCCCATTGCCAGGCTAAGCCCTGACTATAAGCATTTCTCCAACATAAGAAAGAATGACCTTCGGTGATAGCGTGTATGAAATTCCCCCAACCACTAAAGCTCCTTTCTTTCTGATCTGTCATGAGTGGCGATGGGAAGCAGTTTTCAATTTTCCTCACACTGAACCTTTGTGTACCTGAAATAGTCTGCTCTTATCTGTCCATTTCTCTTTTAAATTGTAAAGCCCCACATCTTAACCTCTCAATGAGAAATCATTTTCGGGTGCAAACTACTGAATCATATCCAGTTTTCCCCACAGCCCTCTGAAACCTCTCATTCCTTCTGGGCCACAGTCCTAGGGTCAGATTGCCCAGGAGGGGGCAATGTGCCGGTTGCAAGAAGCCTGCCACACTCAGGCAACCACATTTATTTAACAGGGTCCACTCAACTCCCGTGGTATTTTTGCCAACTTTCTGGAAACGGTCCATCACAGGCAAGCAGGCCTGGAGAGCTATGTAAACCAATTGGAAAAAAAATATGGAACCCAAGAGATG